CAATTGTAAAGCCACAGTCGCGTAAGGCGACTGTGATTAACAAAGCTTACAAAAAAATGATCAAAAATAGCCTTTTGGGACGATAAACTTTTCGTTCTTAATTACCTACTAAGTAATTTTACAAGAGTACCCTTTCAAAACGATGTAGTTTTGGTTAATTAAGTATATACAGAGTTAATCCACTAGGGATCACACTTGCAGATGCTTCTCAATTTCTTATTCGATATGCTCTTTGCTATTCTTGCCCTATCTCTTCTTCTCCGTCCTCTCTCTCAAACGATGATGATCCCTTCACCTTTACATGACATCTCATGGTGAAAAACTGGTTTGGTCTTCCCTAATATCGATTTGTTTCTTTTCAATTGAAGTCATAGCCCTAGATTTTATCTTTCTCAAGGTGGGTATCAACATAGAGGTCTTGAAGAGCCCCCAACAGCAGCAGCCGGAAACGCCTTGTGGGGCATCGCTACCGCTACCACTGCTCTTTATCTCGTTCAGGTCCTCTAATTTCTGTCTATATATATCTTACACATACCTATATACATCATCTTATTCTTACATTATCGATCTGAACATCTCTACATATTTTATCGTTTCCATTTAACAGTTTATTGTAATTTTTTCTTTGCTTATTTCTTTTCTTTTAGATTTTGATATTGGGAATATGGTTTTATTGTTAGTGTTAATTATTTAGGTGGCATTACTTTATAAACATATATATTTATTTATATCTTAGATCTCAGAAATATAGGTTCAGATTTTTTTATTTTTTTTTTATAAGTAAAATTATAGCTGCAGAATTTGATTTCAATTGCTTATTCAAACATTTATATTAGTGAATATTGTTTGTCTTTTTTATGCTATGTGAAAATGAAAGATTGACATTTTTTTTTTGGTTAGTACATATTCTATGTTGGTGGAGGTATGGATGTAATGTTAATTGATTGAGCTTGGAAATTTCATGAAAGTTGGAACCTTGGTAGTTGAATCATTGCTGATCATGTATCCCATGGTCTTCTAGTTTGAGAGTGTCCAGTATCAGATGATTCTTTAGAAAATTTATTGGGTTAAGAAGTTGGAAGTCCCAAGTGTTTCGGTCCATCTCATTGATCACAGTCCGTTTCGGGAATTACTCTTTTATTGATTTATGGCATCTAATATTCTATTTATTGTAGCTATGTTACTTGGTTAGGAAGGCATTTTTCTATTTTTCTTCTTGTGTAGCTCCTAATTTCCAGATCGATGTAAGCATGCATGTATGTATAGCTTGTGTGCATTCCTTTATTTCGTAATTAAATTACAATTTTATATGTTTTTTGAAATGATAAAACTGGCGGTAGATTCAATAATTTGTGTCAAAATGATGTACATAAATATTAGTATGTCAGGGTATTAGTGTAAAATTGTAGATCGTTTTGCCGTTACCAATACTATTGAAAAGTTAAATTAACTTGGGTTTAACCCAATAGTTAAACGCTTTTTTATGGAGTCAATAGATATAAATTTTCTAGTCTCATAGGATTTGACATACATTGCGGAGGGATTGGACATAAAAAAATTACATCTATAAAAACAATGAAATTTCAAAATAACTTGCATCATTAAATCAACCCACCAAGTTATTTGGAGAAATTAATAACCATAAAATGGCCTAAAGTTAAAACTTGATTCTGCTCGAGGAACACATCAAAGTAATTAACCTAAAAAAAATCAAGTAATTGATGTATTATTTATTAAATAAGTATGAATGCATCAAATCCAATTTGTGTGGAGATTGTAGAATATTGTAGAGAGAAATGATGGATTGTAGAGTTTGGGCAATTCGATAGATTGGGGAAGATTCTGCAAAAGTAAAAGAGCCTTGAACAGTTTGCCACGGGGAAAGAGTTCCAGAGGCTACACATGTGCTAACATTCTTCTCTTTTTTTTATTGGGTTTAAACTGATCAAATTTTTTTTTTTTAAGGTTTAAATAAGAAAATTCTCCTGTACTATTAAATTTTGTCATTTTACCTCCTGAATAATCAGACACCTGACCTCACCTCTCCACTAATCATAATTGACAAAAATTTTAGTTACATAGTGAAATGACAAAAATGTCCTTTCTTTATGAAGTTATGTTTAAATCACAGAACTCCTTAAATCGTCAAATATCCCACGACTGGTGCTTTGCTGATGTGAATTAATTGCAAATAATGGGGAAGGAGTTTGTTAGATGACTTCCAGAAGGAGGGTGTAATATTACAAAATATTATAGTAGGTGGGGTTTTATGAAGTTAATCTTTTTTTATATAATTATGTTTTTGCTAACTTTTTGTTTACGTAGTCAGACAACTCTCGTATTTCATAAAAAAAAAATCTTTGTTTTATGATAGCACAAAACGGTATCATTTTTTTGAGGAAGCTGCATATAATGAAAACACTCTGGTATTGAATAAATGCCTCTTTACCCATAGAAGAGCGAACATGGTGGAACGACTTGTGGACCGCAACATTTTGATTTTGGGGAGATATTGATTCTTTCCGTATCAATTGAATCCGTTCACCATGACAGATTTTGCTTCAATGGAGTGTGCATGTTGTCTTGAAAAAAAACTTTGTGGGTTGATTTGATGATGCAAGTTGTCTTGAAATTTCTATTGTTTTTATAGATGTAATTTTCCTAGCTTTGGTTTTAAATTTTTCAATGTTTATGTCCAATCCCTTGTTTGTCAAATTCTGTGAGACTAGAAAAATTATATCTATAAAATATGGATTTTGGTTGTTGGATGCATTAGGACATTTGTTATGATTGTGCCTTAACAATATTTAAATACTCCACTTTCATTTTTCATGTGTGTGTGTATATGTGTGACAATATGTGTATATATGTGTGACAGTGTATGTTGGTGTTGGGGGCGGAGGAAAAGAAAACATAGAGGAGAGAATGAAAGAAATCGTTATAGGTATGGGGTTGAAAAGATCATTTTAGCATTTAAATTAGTCAGTATAAAAGTCAAAGGGTAAAAATGTCAATTTATTACCATCTGAATATTCTTTTGGCAAATCTTAGGGGTATTACGTTACTTTACTCTTATTTTATTTTTTAAAATTTTTTTTTGTGGAATAAACATGAAATCTGATGAATGAATGGTCACGTGCGAGTAAGAATATTTTCATTTTTTCAATACCATTCCCGGTAGTTTAACATAATATCGGATCTGTACATTTGTCACATGCTGTTCTGTCTTTTTTGAATTTGAACACAAGGAGGGGGAATAGTGCGCATCATATGTGCTATTCATTTTTTTTTTTTTTTTTTTTGGGACTTTCTTTGCCCTAAGAAAAGCTAAGATGGAAAGAGAAATGATAAAATAAAGTTAAAGGTGCTAATATATAATGTCATGAAAGGTTAGTACAAAGTAAATCAAAAGAAAGATGACAATTGTCCATAATTAATGCTAATCTGCCCTAGAAAGATGACAACGGTCAATAATTAATGTTAATCTGCCCTAGATTGAGGCCATAGCATTGGGTATAAAACAAAAAAAACTTAGACTATGCTCAAAACTAAATAAAGACTCAAGACTATAGTTAATTGGTGGTACTTCTTGAGTAAAATATTGAGGATTCAAGTCTTATTAAGGGGAAAATATGAGTAGTGTGTTGGACATTTCACGTCATTATATTCTTAACCAATTAAAATATATTATTTTATTAAAATGAAAAAAATTATTAAATGGTCGTGGACCATTTGACACTTCAGGATTTAATCCAATAAAAGTTGACGTTGAGATTTCTTTATAATATATTAATACACTCTAGTGTGATCATTTTGTCTATCCGAGAATTTAGATTTAACTCGTTTCAAGTACTGTCAATAGACCTGGACCATTTAATAATTTCTCTTAAATTAACTGCAATATTGAATTTCATTCGACAAGCATACCATTGACCTGGAATGCCCACACACCCAATATCTACTCCAATAAAAGGTATAGTGGCAGCGGAGTGTTTATAAATAATAATAATAATAATAACATTAAAACGATATAATTGAGTGATTTCTCATTAAATTAAAAAGATATAAATTAAAAAGATATAATTGATAAATTTATTCACCAGTCAAACAACCAACGACAATGCCCGACCAACGATTTTGTTTAAGCAAAATAACAATGCTGGAAAAGGTACCATCCTTTTTTGGTGCATTGGATGACTGGAGAATTTTTCTCCTTGGTCGGCTGTTTGGTTCTGGTAACAAAGGATAGGAGTACTCAATTGTAAATATGGATTTGACTAGACACGTTGACCAACCGTTCAAGCACGGGCTCTGAATATATTTGGACTTTAAGAGACTAATTAACTCAATTAGTTATAATTGTAAATAAAAAAGACAGTCTTAGCAACAGATGTGAGGTGGTGTGTTCTGACTCTATCTATCATTTTCTAAATATGTTTGTTCTTTACCAATATTGACAAAATTTTAAATTGTGTGAAATTCTAATCAAACAAATATTCTAACAATAATCATATTTACTTACTTGAAAGGTTCATCTAGTAATCTGAATTGATTAAGTATATGGTTATTCCAACTCCTATTTGTTGCATAACACTGAATTCAATAATTCATCCAATAATCCAAGTGTTAAAAGAAGGTTCCTTAAAAAAATTTAATGTACATCTTCGCTTAGGAACACGATTCAAAAATTTAATGTACCTTTGGCAACTCCTATTAATCAAAACACGATTCAAAGTTTGGTAAAAGAAATTTTATGACCTGTGGAGGCAGAGGAACTTATGTCAATATATAAATCTTGCATTGAGTTGTATTGCCCATCAAATGACCAACAAACCTTTAAAGGCCAAAGAAACATTAGAATTGATACAAGTGACGTTATAACTATTCCAGCAAGAGGAGACTATGAGTATTTAGCATATTTACTTGTGAAGACGACTATATTTACCTAATGCATCATGAATTTGAAACATTTGAGAAATTCAATGAGTTTCAGGTTGAAGTGGAGAATAAATTAGGTAAACTTATTAAAACTATTCAATCTTTTTGAGATGATGGCACAATTCATATCTCATGCCAAAAACAAAGTTTCTAAATAAAACAAACCGTGTTCAACTAATATAAAACTTTCAATATCGGTTATCAACAAAACCGGGTACAAGACATATGAATAAATTTGAAAAACTTAGCCATTAGGCAGCTAGCATCCTTCTTTTTCCATCTTCATTGTCTTCTTATTTGGAACATCTCGTCTTATACCAACCTAAACAAGTCCTTCACTCTTCTCCCAATGCTTTCTGATTAGTAAAACCAAAGCAAGAAAGAAACAATCTTTAATTTTTCAATATAACAAGGACATCCAATAATCTTTAATTTTAAAAAGAAAAAATCTAGAGGAACCGAAATCCAATCTTTTTTCTTTTATCCTAGTATTTATTATGAGTTCAGTCAATTTGGGTGTAATTCAAAATTGTAAACCCATTGTTTGAGCCCCACAAACACAATCACATGAAATCTAATATTGAAAAAATCATCAACGCTAAATTTCAGATTAGTAAGAGAAAATTAAAATGATAAAATATTCAAGGAAAGGAAGGAAAAAAACATACCAATACACACGCATTCATACATTTATAAGTATGTAGATTGGTTTGAATGTCTAGATGGCTAATAAAACAATAGTAGATGTAGATTGTTTTTAAAATCGGTGAGAGGGGAATAAATTTTGATTTAAAAAAAATATATAAAGAAGAAGGTAGGGGAACCATTTTATAAATTTATAATTAAGGGATGAGACCAAATCTCAAACACGTGTTTGGAATAGATAATAACATTTGAAACTTTCCATCTCTATTTGTGAGCGTGTGGGAGAGAGTACCTCAAAATCCTGAATGTTGTTTAAGATTGATCATTCATCATTATCTCAATCTTCTTCGACATCATCTTCATCTTCATATATTTTTTTTTTTTTTGAATGCCCACTTGGGGGGGCGAGAGCCCCCTGCCCACTCGAATGGCCACTTGGGGGAGTCGAATGCCCACTTGGGGGAGAGAGAGTGTGGACCTCTGAATCCGGTATGCTGTGTAGCTTCCATTTTTAGATGAATACCCAACTTTTTCACCTTCAAAAATGGTGTTTCAATTGAAGCCCGAATGTAACACCCATCATAATTGCATTTTCGATCATCTTTAGGAAGTTTGTTAAGTGATTCATAAAAGAGCATCATGTGATCTGACCTGATTCTATGTACCCAATCACCTATCCGAACTCTTTCACTGTTACCATTAAGTTGGAGAGAAATATACCTAGTACGTTCGTCATATGCTTCCGAAAACATAATGTTATCCTTCAGGGAGACATTTTGATTGCTTCCGAAAACGGCGCAAACATAAACTCCTTTGAGGTAATGGAAAGAATTTGGATCAATGCTCAAACACACCACCGGAGTAGTCATGCCTTCCTCACTACCACTCTCATATGTATGGCTGAACCAACTTGGAATCTCACTTCCTGGAACAACGATTTCACTAATTCCCTGTACCATAATATAAAAAGCATAACAATTAATGATTCACTTGTGTGAGAAAGAGGGGTATGTATATATTTGGGGGTTAATTTTGAAAGTCTACGCACACAGAGAGAGGGGGAGAGTGATACGATGCATACACAAATATATATATATATATAGTTATATGGGTACCTGAAGTTCACTTTCTGAATTGTATATATTTGGCTTCTTGTTACCATCATTCACAATCAATTTGTGGCACTCACCAAAATTCAAAATTTGGCCATGAAATCTGAATTCACATTTTGGAATCGAACACCGTTCTAATGATGAGCAACCTTCTGCAGAAAGTTCTATTATAGATGATTGAAGCGAGTCCAATGTTTGGAGGCTTAAGCAACCTTCTGCAGAAAGCTTCATTATAGATGACGGAAGCGAGTCCAATTTTTGGAGGCTTAAGCAACCATCCAAAGTAAGATAATAAAGGTTTGTAAGTTGTGTGAAGCTTGCTGGTAAGCTAGCAAATTTGTTCCTCCTTAGATCTAACTTGTGTAACGAGTGAGGAAGATTGAGAATGGATTCTTCATCTAAATTGCAGTTATCACACCCCAAGACTTGAAGGTGAGTCAACTGTGCAAAGGATGATGGAAACTTTTTTATATCAATTCCACTCAATTGAAGACTCCCCAAACACTTCATTTCACCAATAATGCTTGGCAAACTCCCAAGCCCTTTGAGATATTCAACTGATTGAGGTATATTGTCGGCCAATCTTTCAAGCATTTCGCACTTTCCCATATATAATGTGCGAAGCCCTTTGAGATGTTTAGCTACCGATGGAGATAATTCTATTATTGCAGTACCACTTAAGTTAAGATAGTATAAACATTCCATATCTCCTTGAATTTCTGGAAACTTCTCAAGTTTTGAGCACGAACTAAGATCAATGCTTTTGACAGATTTCAAATGAATTCTTGTTGCGAGACTCTTCAGATTTTTACACTCGCGAAAATTCAACTCAACAAGTCTCTCGTGAAATTTAATGGACGGATGAACCTCAGCCAGACTTATACAATCCTCAAAATCCAATTCCTCCAAACATGGCAGCACAGACAAATTAGGTGTCTTCTTCAAATTTTGACAGTAGCTAAGATCAATGACTTTTAAAGACTGCTAAAATAAACAATTAAATGATGAAAGAAATCAGTTTCAATCAACAAATAAATGATGAAAATACAACAAAAGATGAAACGTGTGTAAAGAAACAGCGTGACCATTAGCTTTTAATCTCATTAAAAATCAGACAGTGAACACACAAGAGAACTAGATAGTAAAAGGTGGAGGATTTGAGTCCAGAGTATGGTTACAGTGAGTATGAGATTTTTTTTTTTTTCCCCAATAATTAAAGGGTAGGTGAATTTGTTGCCAAGGTAAATAAAAAATTAAAAGTAGTTAATTGCAAATGGCATTCACCGAGGTCCATTTGGTTAGAACTAACAGTGAAAACAAAAATACACAAGAAAAAGAAACATTTATAAGCAACTGAAAAAGAAAAACCAACAATTCGAGAACCCAGTTGTCGAAAACAAGAACAGAATACAATGAAACATCCGCCAAATAAAATAATCAAACAACCAAACTTCAACAACTCTACGACACCAGATTTAAGATCAATCTGCACGAAATCAACATCTAAACCCCAACTGTTCAGCAAAATCTTGCAAGAAAAATAATATTTTCAACGTCCATTTGATTAGTGTGAATTTTTTTTTATTTTTTATTTATTTATTTTTTTATATATATAAAAAATTATGAGAAATAACCATTTCATAGATTTTTTTCTTCAGAAATTCAAGCTACCATTTCATAATTCAAAATACATGAAACTCAAAATAAACCAAATTTTGCAAAGATATTAGAAAAAAATGGACAATAATTGCAAGAAAATTTTCAGAATTATTCATATACATATGGAGCACAATATATAAAAAATTTAGCCTTAATAAAGATCGATTTCATGAGAAATCATATTTTCCGTCAAAGTATTTTCATTCTTTTATAGCCTCACCATTTAAAAAAAAAATCAAAATGAATAATTCTGAATTTTTTTTTTACAAATAACCCAAGTATTTTTTAAAAATATATTAAGATTGTTGTAATAAATTTTTAGATTGTCTATTTCTATCTGGTTATGAAGTTTTGTTAAACAAATCTTATATTTCTGGAATTCTTGTTTTATAAATATATTATTCGCACTATTTGGATGCACTATTTGTGAGATATAAATTTTTGAAGTTCGAAAAAATTAAGATTTAAATAAAAGGACATTGTGGTCCAAATATTAACTCTTTTACACTCTCAGATAGTTGAGGGGATTCCTTTGTTACAAAAATTAGACAAGGGAGATTTGTTAGAAAATGCTATAAGTCGAGGGAGGTTCTTTGATAAAAATTTAGACAAGAGGGTTTACTGAAAAAAAGGTTACAAGTCGAGAGGGGATTTTCTGTACTTGTACTACAATGAATTGACATAGTATTTAATCTAAATCTATTATGCCATTTTAATATTATTATTAATTTTATTTTTAATAGTAAAAGCTGATTTTTTTTTTTTTGAAAGGTAAGCAAAAGGTGAATTTGAAGATGTTAACTTATGATGAATATGTTTAATAATGGTTTCCAGAGTTAAAATTATAAAACTCCCTTTTTACTATTAAAACTATGTATAAAAAGACTCATTTGTTTAATAATAGTGATTGATAACTATTATTATTATTATTATTATTATTATTATTATTATTATTTATTTATTTATTTATTTATTTCGAGAGTTGAAATCACAAAACTCCCCAAACTAACAAATCTCATTACCCTTCTTTCCAGAGTTAAATTTATAAAACTCCCCAAAAACTATGTATAAAATAAAAGGCTCATTTGTTTAGTGATTGATAACTGTTATTATTATTATTATTTCTTTGGGGAGTTAAAATCACAAAATTCTCCCAACTAACAATTCTAGTTACCCTTAAACTGGCTAATAAAATTACAAAATTAATCTTACTATTTAATATTAAATTAAATACTTATAATTATTATTTTAAAATTACACATTTAACCTTTGTGGGTTCATTGCAATTAAAAGATTCCAGTTGGCAGTGACACCACTCATCGCCTACGGGTGAACGTGTGTATGTGTTATATACACACACAAACACACATATCATACCATTACAACTCCAATAATTAATTTAAAAGAAACACCCATATCCATAAACAAATGTATAGAGGGGAGAGAGAGGTACCAGAATTTTCACAGAATTTTCGTAATATATATAAAAAAGAAACACCCATATCCATAAACACCCATATTACGAAATTCTTTGAAAATTCCCCTCTATACATATGTTTATGGATATGGGTGTTTCTTTTAAATTAATTATTATATATATAATAGAAGCATAATGCACTTGAAATAATAACATTACCTTCCCGGCCTCAAATTCAACCTCAACCAAATTTGTACAACCTCTAAGATACAATTTCTCCAAAATGGGGCACGCCGGAAAATTAGGATTTACCAAATTTTCGCAGCCGCTGAAATTAAGGACTTTTACCATAAACTGTTAAAAAAATTATAAAAATTAAAATTAGTTAACTTCAATTGTGTGAATAAAATCATTTTTTTCAAAAATCGAGAAAATTTCAACATAAAGGATAACATGCTGAGTAAAATAATCATCTTACTATTGTATTCATGGAAATTCCTTTGATCAGGCTATTAGGTAAATGGAGCGAAACAGGTTTTTTTGGATGAAAATTGTGTGGCAAATATTCATGGGGATAGCCTTCCCAATCAAGATACCTCAACTCATTTGAAAGATATGTAAGACATCCATCAAGCTGCACGCCATTGATTTTGAGTAGTCTTAGCTTCCTCATCTTTGTGAAGGCATCAGCTCTTACATGCAACTCTCCATTCATGGGCAGCATAATAGCTTCAATATTTTCTGTCACCTATCAACCAAGACATAAAAACCTAACTAAAATTATATTTACTTCAAAGAAGACTTGGTGGACAATACAATACGTCCAAGAAACTTTCTTTTTTTGCACATCTTGGGCATGGAAAGAAACTAACACATATATATATATATATGTTTAACACATACCGTATTTTGAGTGAGTACTTCATGGATGTCCTCATAAGACCATAATCTGCTGCGCCTTCCGGGATTTTCAGATTCTTGACCAACAATTTCTCGACCCATATCTTGTATCAAGTCATGCATTGACAGCTTGTTGCCTTTTGATATATTAATGAGGCACCTCTCACTAAGTACTTTTATCTCAATCATTGCCGATTCATCCATTTTATAAAAATTCATGACATATTCCTCATCGCGTCCTTTGAAGAAACAGGCAATATCAAGAAAAATTTTCTTCTCTTCCTTAGTAAGGCCTTCGTAACTTATCCTTAAAACATCATGAATTTTTTTGGGAGGGTTGGCCTTCAACCTATTTAATATAGATAACCACTCATCTTTGCTTCTTTTATGTAAATGGGAACCCAAAACTTCGAGAGCAAGTGGAAGGCCATTTGCATAATCCTTCGCACGGTGTGAAAGTTCTTCATAATCATTTTCAGGCTTCTCTTGCTTGAATGCATGCCAACTAAAAAGTTGTAATGCTTCACTGCCATCTAATAACTCCATGTCGTATATCTTAACACTGTACGTATCCAACAATCTTTTATTTCTAGTTGTTATGATGATCCTACTACCACTGCCAAGCCATTCAGGTCCTACTGCAACTAAGTACTTCAATGTATGTTCATCATCTACATCATCAAGTACTAGAAGAAGCCTTTTGTTACAAAGTCTATTCTCTATCACCTTGATTCCCCTATCAGGATCTGATATTGTTATAGTATCATCCTTTAGGACCTCTTTGAGAAGATCACTTTGTAATTTAGCTAGACCACCATCCTTTGTTGACTCTTCTCTCACGTTTTTAAGAAAACAACTCCGGTCAAATTTTTGTGATACACAGTTAAAAATAGCTTTGGCAAGGGTTGTTTTGCCTGCTCCTCCAATTCCACAAATTCCAAGAAAGAGTTGATCCTCACCGAGCAACTTGATTATTTTCTCCACACGCTCTTTGATACCCACTTCATAATCAGCAACATGAAATGGTTTAGGCAATTTTTTTGAAATCTCTTGAACAATTATTTTGATAAACTTGCCTTCGTTCCTATGAAGTAGAAATTAAGCACATAAAATCAAAATCTAGAACAGAATATATATATATATATATGTGCTGACATTCATTTGATAGTCTAACAAAAAAATAAGAGTGAGTGAACTTGTTAGTAACAAAAAACAGATTAACACAATTAAATATGAAGTTTGCCACCAAATAATGGCAGTCTAATTTAGTTATGAGACTGTACTGGCACTAGGAATGTTAATATTTTCATTGTTCAAATAAAACAATAATACACTGATATATTCATTGAACTAATAAGCTACTAGTAAACTGATGAAGCAGAACATATATATATATATATATATATATATATAGTTATTTACCCATCTGCTGCATCTTGTAAATCCAAGCCGCATAGATTTGCTGCTTCCTTCAAAGCTTTCCTTCGTCTCTCCACCCTTTCCATCTCTCTAGGACGGAACATATATATAAATGCTTCTGCAAAACCTTCAAAGCAGAATATGTATCTAAATGCTTCCGCAAAACTCCTCTTCTGGTTCCGAACTTGCGCCGGTTTCACATCGTAGAAGATGGGCAGCACTATCTGTCCCTTGGTCCTCCTGCATTCAAGGATCTCCACCAGTTCATCCACGCACCATAATGAATTAGCGTAGTTTTTGGAGAAGACGATCACAGCAATTCTTGATTCATTAATATATTTGATGAGCTCTGGAGATATGGATTTTCCTTGCTCAAGCCTTTCGTCATCTTTGAAGGTCCTGATTCCTCTGTCACACAGAGCGGCGTAGAGATGGGCCACAAAGGTTTTGCGAGTGTCTGGGCCTCTAAAACTTAAGAACACATCATATTCAGATCCAGGCACTGATGAAGATGATAAAGAAGAAGCCATAGGATTTTTGCTAAATTGTGTGCCAAATTACTCGGAGCTAGTGATCTAGATAGCAATTAGTATATATATCTAGAGTCTGCATATATATATTATAGTAGATCTTGTACATATATCTAAAAAGAGGAATTTGCTTGTGACTTTCCATCGCCTCCCACATTCCCACTTTACGCGTATACATAAAGATGAGGAATTTGCTTGTGACTTTCCACGCAGCTTCCTATCTCTCTTTTATGGCAGTGACTTTGAACTCAATGGACCCATAACATAATAATGTGCAAAGCAATTTCCTGCTTCCATCTGTGGCCATCAGGGAATGCGCGTTTTAATTGAACACAATGAGTTGGTTGGTGGGGGTGCCGCAAGTTACTTATCAGGTAATTGCAAAAGTAAAGAAATAGATACTAGTAAATATATATGACGACGAAAATAATTCAAATTTTATTATAAAAATTTATATAAAAATAGATTCAATCAAATTTGTACTTATTTTGGGACTGACCTTTTTGAATGGTGCCCTTAAGAAGCATCTTTCTAACATTAATGGTTGCTTGGATTAAAATTTATTTATTTTTATAATTTTTTCATTATATTATAATTACTGATTAATTATTTAGTATGCTTATTTCATTTTGCTTTATATTTGACTAAATGCACAACAATTATCTTGAATTTCTTATATTATTTTTAAATTGTGCATGGGATGGATGACAATTTATTTAGCTTTTTTTAAAAAAATTAAAAAGAAAATTGTTTATAATTGATATGAAATTGTGACATATAAAGAGTTGGTAAAACATGCATAGCTGAATTTCTGTTATGTACCCATATATATATATATATACATATATATATATATATATATATTTATGTACTCCATCGCACTAAGCTTGATGAGCTTGATTTACAATGATTCTGGAGGTGTTTGGTGTTTGTGCTGTTTGCCAGGAAAAATATATATATCTATATATATATATATATATATGTCAAAACTTTTCAAACAATTTATTTATGGGAAGATTAATTCATACTCATACTTATTGAAATACGTACTTATTCATAATTATTTTATTGTGTAACATACAAACATGCACAATATGACATAAGATATTTTCTCTATGATTTCTTGACTATTTTAAAGGATAATACTAATTGAGGAAATTTTTTTTTTTTTTTTTTTTTTTTTTAAATTTGAAATTTGAAATTTGAAACAAACATAGACTATATATCTTTGAGAGTTTTATAGTACAATTTAATAGTATAGAGCCTATGGCTACTATCTTTTTCGCTTTTCGGATGGGGCCAAGTAATAAATTAAGTATTTTAAAAATTCTACTTTTTTCCCCACTTCTATCTTTTGCTCCCTTGCTTTTTTACTTTCATCCCCACTTCTATCTTTTGCTCCTTGTTTTTATTTTAATAATTAAAATTAATAAATAAATACGCGACAATCTATCTTTTCATAGGTGGAGTGCAAGACTTAAGATGATAAGAAAAATACTAATAATTTATAGTTGAGATTAAAAAGGACAAAACATAACTATTTGGTTATTTATTTGTAAGATTATTGTTGATTCTATCAATTAGGACCGTCATTATAGAGATTGAGAAATATAAATAGCTAGGTGATGATTTTTTTTCCTTAAAAATAATACAATTACACGTTTTATTCTTATTGAGACATCAACCCTTCATCTTTGATAATATAAATAGCGGAATTGAAAAGTTTTAACAACATATAAACTAGTAAAGAAAAATTATAAATGTATTGAACGAAATTATTATATATTTAAAATTAACTTAAATATTATTTTTATTAAGAATTTAATTTCATTAGTTTTTAAAGTTGCCCCCACCAAATTAATTTATGACTTTGTCAACGTGATCTTTAGATTCAATAAAATGAAATCGAGCTCAAATTCTAAAGGCAATGAGGTTTTGAGTGTTTAAATTCTCCACATGGACTAAAGGGAAAAGAAAACAAATGTTTAAAGTTTTCATTTCGTAGTTGGCATCTTTTTACCACCATTCATGGTGTTGACTACAATTAATGTTCAAGCAATTTCCTAAGTCTTACCTTGCCAAGAGGTGCGAAGTTGGACGCTTTACTGTTCATCCAGTGGTGCTGCTTTTGTTGCTTGGTTGCTTTTGAACGTAGTCTTTGAAAAAAAAAAAATTCTTTGAAAAGGTCCGCTACGCGTTATTTATTTATTTATTTAATGTAAATAATTTCATACATAACTTCCACAAATTCTCACTATGATAAATAAATTCTAATCTCCCCCTTTAAAACAAGAGATATTATATAATCTAAACCAATGACTTGGTGATATACTACATGTTATAAAGGTTTCATTTAAATTAGTTATTATTATTATTATATAAGCAAGAAACTCATACATTTATTTTGTTTCTATAGAGATTTTAATTCTTTATCTTTTACTTTAAAAGACGAAAAAGCTAGTAGGATGATATTACTGTAAGACCCGTGTAAAATACATATATATATTTATATCATATATTTATTTACTTAATATAATTTAATGGTTATCTCTGATTTAATTTAAACGGGTGATTGTGATAAAGTTTGTTAAATAATTTAAATTTTTTTTAAAAAAAAACTAATTTATCTCACCAGACTCCCTATATCTCTATAACTCTCTAATACGTTTTATTTATATATATATAAAAAAAAAGAGATACTAGCACGATAACGGGAGAAGAAGGGACCAGAGAGAGTGATTTGACGTCGTGTTTTCCTGCAGTAGCCGGGGGAAAGGAACGGTAATCGGGAAGTTGCGTAGAAAGGAAGAATTATTTATACCAGGCAATTTAATCTTGCTTTATATTTTTATATATGTTTACGACTTAATTTATAAAATTTCTTAAAGAATTATTCTAAGACTGTTCTAGCGTATTTTAGTCAATTGTTTGATGGAAATCTATGATTATTTGATATATGAACCTGTTTAGTAGATTAATATGTGGTTGTTACTCGCTGTTTGGTATTTAATGAATTGTAATACGGAGTTGTAGGTGTAATCGTGTTGGATTTAATTATAAATACATATGGGTTCCAGTATACATGTTACCACATGCACTCTATTGGGTACTTATTATATTCATTGCCTATAATTCTAGATTTTTTTTCTGATTGAATGAAAGTTAGTTAATATATATGCTTATGTGGGGACATATACAGAATTATGAACTTATTAATAGCATGAACCAATTGTGATTGGATTTTTGGGAAGTAAATGACATAAAAATTTGTATGCTGACTAGTAAATATATAGGTACTTATGTTGGATTTCATGAAAGAATTTGTGTTCCTATATATAGGTGACTACGTGTATCTATTTAGTATAAAATTTGCCTAAATAGTGGGACTGAACTTTAAAGACTTTGCTTAATTAAATTGATTATGCTATTTAATTATTAGGAATAGATTAGACATGTCACTGAACCTTGAATCTTCTATTTAATTAGTTTATAAATAATTGGAAAATTTATACATACATGAAGTACTTGGACTAAATATATTTTTTAAGAAACTCAATATGTCAAATTATGAGTACCTGTAACTAATTAATTGAAGAGGTGGATCTATATATATATGAAATCTATTAGGTTGATCTGTGATATATATATATATATATATATATATATATATATTTGTTTGGTGACTAAGTTTACTGGGACGAAATTTCATAGCCAGAATTGGTATTATTTGTACTTCCAGTTGCATGCCTCATTATTAGTTACAGTACTGGATGAATAAGTGATAGTTAAGGTTTATGGGTATGAGTATGATGATAAAATTTCATATTATTATATCACAATTCACCATAATTAATAATTAATGGATGAGTTTGGATTAGTCGGAGGGGTAGTCAGGGACTGACCCTATGATGACTTTTTGGGTATGGTCAGGGACCTACCTAATTGGGAGTGCACTACCCTTTTGTTATGGCCATGGGTCTAATGAGCCCTTATTGTGTGGACGTGATCAGGGATCATCTGGGAAGTAGACGTACAATCCAGCCACACGTGTGTTTTTGGTAGTCAGGGACTATACGATTCACACCATTTTATTGGACGGGAGCCTGGGGCTCATGTGAGATATGCCGATTTATTAAAAAAAAAATAAAAGATGGTTATTTATTAAGTTTATAATTAACTGGGTTATACACATTTGAATAATGAACTTATTTGAGTTGCTTATATATACAGGAATATAAGGTAAGGTTAATTTACTGAACGATGATTGTGTTTAGCATTTATTGCTGAGCTTGTGAGCTCACCCCATTATCACATTTCAGGTACACGTTGAGTAGGAACGTGATGGGATTACATGATGGTGATGGGTTTTGGCTTGTTTGTCGCATTCTTTGGTTTAGTTCAATTTTCGCATTGTAATAAGAATGACGATATTTTTTTGAGAGTTAGTTCATTTTGTCCAGTTATCATGGATTATTTTTGACAAGGTTGTTTGATATTATGGTTGTATCGATTTAATAAATTAAAGGGTGGTTTTCGTCTACTTCTTTATTTAATTATTTCTATTGTAAAGTTGTGGTTGTGTAAGGAAAGTCATGTCAAATTTTAATACGAGATAAAAGTTCATGTATTTGGGATTTTGGGGCGTGACAGTTTGGTATCAGAGCCTAGGTTAAGAATTACCTGGCTAAGAGAAGTGATAGTAAGAATAGGAGCATATACTTATACGAATTATTGCTCTCTTACCATGCTCCAGTTTAAGTATAAATTACTTGTGAGACTTATCATTGACATTCGTTACTGAAAATAGGATGTCAGGAGCTGGAAGAGGCAGAGGACGACCTGCTAGAGGTAGAGGTCAGGGAGGTGCTGGTTGTGGTGGTGTTGACCATGACAATGTTCAGTTGGAGGATGCACCTCATGTGCCAAATCCAATGATTGGATTTATCAGAGATATCCGCAAATTGGGGGCTGTTGAATTTGCTAGAGCAACCGATCCACTTGATGCTGAGAAGTGGATTGAAGATATGGAAAAGTATTTTGAGATGATGGACTGCACTGAGGTGCAGAAAAGGAAGATTGGTGCATTTCTTTTATCTGGTGAGGCGCGCCAGTGGTGGCAGTCAGAGACCAGGATGGTTGTGGACATTACAACTATGACCTGGGATGATTTTAAAACTCGGTTCAATGACAAATACTTTCCACAATCAGTGAAGGAGAAGAA